CCAAATTGAGCCGAGGTGCCACGGCCACGCGTTAATACTATGGACATTGGCGTGGTGGCCCATGACCGGACAGAGCCATTAAGGCGTGCCCACGCGTGGCCATACGCACGCAGCGGCGCATTGTCGCGATGCGGCAGACGCCCGTGATATCTTGGTTTTTGGCTAGGTAGGTGGTTCGAGCGGTCAGACAAGCGCCACGTCGCTCCGGTGACTGCACGACAACGTTACAGACCACCGTTGCGCTAGCGACGGCCACACCGCGACAACCCATCAGCGTAGCGGCTCGTGGAGGCGACCCAGGCCGATGAGCGGTTGTCAGCCCCCAAGGCTAACCATGGCATGACCCCAGCCAGGAACAGTCGGCCATGGCAGCGTGCACGTGGTGTTCGCGCCTATGGAGCCAGCGGCCGAACGGTGACGAGCATGCTTTTGAAAGCAACACAAAAATTGCTAACGATCACGATTGAGGTTCAACTAATTCCATGACTCTAAAGTTGATTTTATTAGCTATCTAATGGAGCAATCCGCACAACAAAAGGGCCACCCAAGAGGAAGATACATGCGCGCCAAGATGAGTTCATCCTCAAAGTTCTGGTCCGCGACAAAGCGTTGACACAGAGCTCGCAGCACGTTCTAATGAACTTAGGCAAATTTTTCTGAGATCCATGTGACACTCAACATGACTATAACCTACACCATTCTCGAATGCTCACCTTAGGGCAACCAATAATGCTCCAACATAAAAAAATTTCTTAATCATTTTTGTTGGAATTTAAATATTGAAATGGCATTATTGATTATTGTTATAGACTTAGAAAGGACGAGAGTCCCGCTTGAACTAAACAACCATTAACACTTATGATTGAATTTTTAAAAGGTCGGAACTTTGTCAATTTCAACTAGACAACATGTCATGACCTAGTCCATACTTCATACTAACTCATAGGAACAAAATATTAAAGCACTATTTAAGTGTGTTCCACTATATAATTTACCAAAGATAGCACTTTAAACTTAAATCGTTTGTTTGCCGACTTAACGGTGAAGAGTGGATTTAATTTCAATTTGATTTCTGAGCTTCGCAAAAATACTAGTTGACTTTATTATTCTCCAAGATTTAAAATTGCATGCCCAGCTACGTAACTCGCCCACAAATCTTAATTTCCACACTATACTCCAGTTATAAATGGGTCGTTGTTCATAGAAATTGTTTTCATGCTAACAACTAACACAACTCATTCTATTCTTTTTGTTAGGAGTTTTCATCACCACCTCTTTACGCTAAGTAAATGAACTCACTATATTATTAGATCTATCTCTCAGGCCATAATCTCGGTGCTTAGCAAGCCCATAACACCAGAGGTGTTACAGCTTCCATTGAGCTCCCAAATCAAGATGAAGCATTGCAGCACTTCCCCGTGGATGACATCACCGTGCCTTTGACACCATGTGAGTTGTACATTCCCTTGGGGAATATCTGTGCCACAGTCTTGCTAGCACACGATATTGTTTCTCCTGTGGGCCCCGACAACACACCAACAATCCATGGGAATTCAATTCCACCTGAATATTATAGCGTCTCCATGGATAGAGTTATCAAAGACTATAGGGAAGTGCCTCTTGACTTTCCTAGAGGTGATGGGGAGAAGACCCTAGGACAAGCAAAGCATTCATTCGTTTTATGGCGCAAGCGCTACATCATTATTCCTGATGCGGCGGCTAGGGTACTGTTGCCTCCTTCTCAACTACCTCATGATATGTGCGGATGAAAGTGAACAAAACAGTTTTTCAATAATTAATCATTCTCAATTATTGGCTTCTCGCGTAATAACCATTTACTCCCAATCATTTTTGTACTCCAAGTCTTCCAACCTGAGTCCACTTTCATCCCATAATGATCATAAGAGTGCTCTAGATGATGATGATGTGTTCCATGGCATGGCTGCATCTCCATCTCCTCCAAGGCGGTCTCCCCCTCCTTCGCCTCTCGCGCTGTAGAGCCAGAAGAGGCCCCCGCCTCGGTGAAGTCCCCGGTGAAGAAGAAAGCCAGCCATCGTAAAACAAAGCCTCCTCTAGAGAAGCTACCTTACGAGCAGTCTGAAGAGGAATCAAAAGCGGCGGCACAAAAAGATTTGATTAATTGGAAGCAAGATTTAGCAGAATCAAGAGCAAGGAGGTTGGAACTTGAGAAAAACCCGCCAAAGCCGCACTACATAGCTCAACAAGAACTAAGGAAAAAAATTAATAAGCGTGATAAAAAGCAGCGTGAGGCACGTAAGCCCTCGCCATTATCGGACTATGAACGCTCTCTGGACAAGTCATATAAGGCGTCGCTGAAAGCAAAGAGAGCAGGGAAAGATGTTGCATAACTCGGCAGCAATCTAAGCAATCTATCGACCCGCTAGTTGTTGAGGATGATTTCACAAATGCACCATGTTGTCCAATAGATAAGGAGGCACTACAAGACTTTATGGCCACCATAGGTCTCACAGTTGAACAACTCATGGGGGGATCATCGATACCAACAGATGACTATGATATTTACTGAACCTATGTGTATGGCTAGAGTCTTGTCAACCCTAAGCACTACTCATCACAAGGTACGCAGATGTTCTTGTTGAACAAGTGGTACTTAAAAGTGATAGAGAATAACGAAGCAGCATGGCTTGTTGCCAGAGTGAGACCAGAGCATTACTTGGGCTATGATGTTGTACATATGAGTTCAATGAATTACATCAACTATTACACTGGGACGCTCTCGACAAATCTTTTATCAACTATTGGTGATTGTAAGTGATTCTTTCTACAATTGAATTGAAGTAACTTGCATGTTAGTTAGTTGATCATATATAGTTATCCTCACACTATATATATTGTACTATATATATGCATATATGAGATGCTGAAACTAAAGAAAAAAGCGATGACTGAGGTTGGTTTCATTGATCCAAATCGCGTATTCAAGGACAGGGTTACTCCATATGATAAATGGCGACCTCAAGTGGAGAAGCTTTTGTTCAGGTTCTTAGATAAGAACGCTAACAAGACACTGATACTCTTCCCATACGGCTTCAAGTGAGTGTGAATGTCTTGTGCCCATTTTATTTTGCTTACTCCATGTTGACTTTAGTTAATGAGTTATGCCTGCGTATAAACATGTAGCTTTCACTGGATACTGCCGGTCATCGATATGACCAGGAGTCATGTAAAAATCTTTGACTCAGCGACAAAACCCCAAGAAGATTACTAAGAAATCCTCGATATACTCTAGTGGTAATTTTGATCTCGCACACACTATATACTCTCTTATGCCATTTTAATGATATAACTCCATTTATTTATTTTGTTGAGCAGTGCTTGGAAAACGTTCGCCGAGAAACACCATTATGGTAATTGGAAAGTGCCTCTGCATATAGTCCTATACCCAGTAAGTACTATCTAGGTCACCACATCTTTATTTAGTTCAATTCATTATTATCATGTTTCATTGGTTGATGAATTTTTTTCTCGTAAAGTGGTGTCTGTAGCAGGGATCAGGGAATAACTTATGTGGATACTACGTCTGCGAGTTCCTCATGGAGTACTCAAGGAGAACAAGTGAAGAGATCCCCGAAGTACATAAAAATATACATAATTTATTTATTATATATATATATATACTTTTGCTTTCATTCGAATTGAAGATTGAATGGAGGAAGCGAAAGGTCCTGCGATGTGACCAGATCAAAGCAATTTAAGAGGCATTGTCATAATTTCTTTTGGAGCAGGTCATAGATCCCAAGGGCGCATTGTACTGTAACCCTAAAGAATTCATACCTAGTAGCCAAACGACGGAGGAAGATTAGGGTTACAAGAAATCCCAATGACATGAGTACATTTGTGACTTTATTATATATGTGCATATTTCATGCATGCATATTTGTATATATATATATATATATATATATATAGTTTCATACATTTTAGTGTGTTATTTATATATAATGCCAACCCCAACCTTATACCTACGTATATATGGACGTATATTAGCACGATAATGTCAATACATATTTAAAAATAGTTGGGTTACTAAACAAAGAATTGAATTGAAAAGAAACCATAAAATGAAAAGAAATGAAAATGAAAAAAATATAAGGAAATTAACAGTAATTATTGGAAACACCAACTCTGCTATAAGTTATTTTGTAGCCACTATAGGTAGTAGTAGTTATATGCCCGGGGGCATTTATATATATATATATATATATATATATATATATATATTTCCACTTTTTAGTCCCATTATTTAACCGAACTAGAGGGAAACTTTAGTTCGTGGATTATATGCAATCTTAGTTGCGACAATTAGGGACTAAAAGCTTTTCCAAACCGAGATTGAATCGAAAAGAAACTAGTGTATGCAACAAATGAAATAAAAAAACAAATATATTTAGATAAGGCAACACAATTTGGTTGAAATCTTTTTCTTCAGAAATCATTGACAGTTCTCCATTACACACAAAAAACTGTTCGGTCCCACACAAATCATGACTCGCTGGATCAACGTGGCGCGGAAACACCGTGCCCCACGATTTCTAAACCGAGATTGCAACACATCGGTGGTAAGGGAAAAAACTCTAACAAGATATAGCTAATGCACTGCAATTTGGTTGAAATCTTTTCACCAGAAATCATTGACAGTTCTCCATTACACACAAAAGCTGTTGGGTCCCACACACAATCATGACTCGCTGGATCAACATGGCGCGGAAACACCGTGTCCCACGACTTCTAGTATGTAACTCCTTCGGCAAACTTAATATCTTATACAGAAGCATAGTTTGCATATGCATAACTTACACAGAAGCATGATTTCTTACATATATGCATGCCTTGCAAAAGCACTACTACATATGCATTCTTGGGCAAAAGGAACCCAGTCTAACATACGCATTCCTTAGCAGAGGGACAACTTGGTAAAGGCGCACACAAGAATAGCCACCGTACACCTAAATAGGTATTCAGGGGAGGTATGGGATCCAGCGGCGCTTGATGAAATCATCATTTGGGACTAACAGCTCACGCCCCTCAGGTAGATCTGCAACAAACAATCTGCCAGAAACAACTTCATACTCAGTAGAGATTTCCTTCTTACTCCGACGCGTTTCCCCTTCTCCAAAGGAAAGTACACAAAAAGTTTTCCGTTAACCAGGTCTGTTCGCTTGAGCTTTATAAGTCAGAATCAGCTCTATTTTTTCAGTTATAGAACATTGTTTTTCTCTCACCATAAATCAGTCCTACAAATCAGCTACAAGCAGCAATTAAGTCCTGCCGAACAGAGCCCACATCAAAATCAGCAAAGACTTCCTTCAGAAATTTGCCATCACCTTTCCAAAGAAGAGATGAATTTGGAAACTTCTCTGCAAGCATGCAATCAAGCGGATCACGATTGGCACGCATCTCCGCTAGCTTTCCATCAGAGAACTTGGTTAGTCCCAACTTGATTGACTGATTAGCATTGTTGATACTGTGGACACGCAGCACCCTGTTCTTGAACTTGTTGAACCGGCAAGCCATCTCATCAGGCTCACGCTTCTGGTTAAAAGCCTTACACCAGCGCTCATACAGGTCCCACAGGGCTTCATCTGACTCAACGTCCTCCTCCTCTGGCACAAACTCCACCCTATCACCTGGCTTGGACAAATCTATATAAACAAAAAAAAAAAAAAAAAAAAGAGGGGGGAGTATTGTGTCAAATGCAATTTAATTCGCAGGTAGAACACCCAAAACAGTCCTAATATGTTTTTTTAAAGAACAGGACTACAGGAGGAATATATATTAAAAACAACAAAGAGAGCACAGGAAGCATACACAAGAGAGTAAGTTCAAGAGACAAAAAAGGAAACAGTCCTCATATGTTGTCCTCCGAATTTATCATGAATGAACAAAGGTGTTTAATAAAATAGGGTATTCTCACATGACATGTAGAAAATGTTAGATCGTCTGGAATTGCTGAACGACGGTAAAAAGAAAAAAAAAAAAAGCTATAGTTTCTTCAGTTCGGGAGAGATGGCAATTCCATTTCCCTTCAAGAAGATGGAAGCCAAATTACGTACGCTGATATAGCCGCCATCTGAAGAGGGAGATATCGGATTTACCTTTTGATGATGGAGCGGAGGCAACCCAGCTGCCGGTTCGGGGGCTAGGTGCGTCCATGGCGGGGGGAGGTGCAACCATGCCGTGGGTACGTACGGCGGCGGCGGAACGACCTCCACTACAGCGAGGAGCATCAGATGTGGCCGCCTGCCACCGCCTCTGGACCCGGAGAGAGGGCCCTCCGCTCAGCTAAGCTGGCGATGCAATATGTGGCCGCCGCAGCTGAGCGGGCGGCTCGGGTGAACAGTAGGAGGGCTTTCGATGCTATGGCGAACGATGAGAGGATAAATCTGGATGGATGGTTGCCAACAGTGTTGGCGTCATTCTTCCTCCTTCGATACAAAAAGAGTCTTGTTAAGGTTTCCAGAGTTCGACGAGTAAAGAAGTTTCCTGTTCTTTACTTCTCTGGAAATTCAGGAAATCTCCGTCTCCGTTGTTTCACTTGGCACGTTCTGATTCTCAAACCCATTTCTGACCCCTAACACTGGCTCCCAGAAACCCGTATGGACATCTAAATCCAAAATGGATAGCAAGAGATCCAAAATTAGTCTTCGACATAGTACCTATACGAGAGACCTATTTTGGATTGCCTGAGAGCCACAACCCAAATATGGGCATCCTCTCTCCTAGAAACCCATTTGCAGAAAGGATTCTCTTTTGTGTCTTGTTGTTGGAGAAGATGCCGAATAGGTATTCAATATTTTGCCTATAATGCTACCAAAATGACGAATGTGTCTTATATTTTGGGTGTTATTGTTGGAGATAGCCTAACATCGAGCTATGTTTTTTTACCATATAAATCTCTCGACTTCTTTTTATATAAACACTAGTGAAAATGCACGTGCGACACGCACGTGTCTTAAAAAAAGTTTTTCCCCGTGATAGGAGAAGTGTTGAGTTCATGACTAATACATTTTACAAAGACAAATACATATATTTACACAAGATTACAAATCCAACCCTAAAGTTTATAAAAAATGTATCTTGTAGTTATATTAGATTAAAATTTTGAACCTAAATAATTTCCAATATATCAGCACAGGGTTCATGGAATATTAATATACATTCAGCCAGCATTACACTCAGTTTCTTTTCTTATATAAAATATTAAGATCAGTCAATCACCCTAATTAACTCTATATTAGCCTGCTATCATATATTTTTAAAAAATGAGAATAACGGTGTGTAAGGCAAATTGACTTCCTTGTCTTCCCCAAAATGCATAGCACGTTTCATCATCCCCTTTGTTCCCCTATCCTCCTTGCCACCTTTACAAATTCCAATCAAGCAGGTCCAGGACTGCCGGTGGTCATCGTCTCGTCATTCACCTCAGCATCTCTACAGCACAATCCATGTTGCCACATCCACAGACCACAAGTACTCATTGAGGTCTGCTACTGCCTCAACATAAAATGTTATAAAAACTGAAAAAAGGACAATACAAATAACATATAACTCTACATGGTTATGTGTAAAAATAACATCACAACTAATGTCTCTTTTAAAAAAATGTTTAAAGCATAGTACAAACAAATAGAAAACAATATAAGCTGATAGGTCCCTATTAAGAATTTTCACTTGTTCATATATATATATATATATATATATATATATATATATATATATATATGTAAATATTTCTAGATTTAGGGTTACTCTCACGTGTATATCTCTAGATTTATGACGTATATGGCCCGACCAAGTGTATGTAGATGGAGTATATCATCATACTAGACCATCTAGGGTACTATATATGACAAGTATATATATATACTTAGAGTATATGGTTATACTTATTTTATATGCTACTGTCATAGTATTATATAATATATTAAAAAATATATGCTCTTTTGAAAAAATTCCACATAGTAAAGATCTGGAATATCTTAATATTAGTATGTCAACATACTCAAACTGATAAATGGGTATGTATATATACGCAACGTGATTTATTGATTATGGGAGTAACTACTCCCGATAGTGTTATGGAACAGTTTTTATTTGTTTTTTTTATCATAAATGCCGTGAGTTTTTTTAATTATATATATATGGCATTTATGATAAAAAAACAAATAAAAACTGTTCCATAACAAAGATACCAAAACTTAGAATAAAATCAATAAAAATTACGAAAGAACAGTTTATATATATATATATATATATATATATATATATATATATATATATAACATATATATATATCACATACACTTGTTAACACTATACATATCCCGTTTTATATGCACCCGTTTTTCAAATTGCCCACAATACCGGGCGGTGCATGTATGGCCGAGGCAGCGGTCAACTCTTCCCCGGCAACGAAACGACGTCGCTGCATGCAAACTAGGAGTAGTACTCCGTCCCCTTCTTATACACACTCTTCTGCGATTTTTTTTTACTATGGTAATATTTGTTTGCCCTCCGAACAACTGAACCTATTGAAGAAACTAAAGTGTCAAAATTGTGATCTTCTACTATCTTTGACAATGAAAATTTGTTGCAGCATTGACTTACCCGAGCTGCTGCCTTCACCCACAGGAGGAGCCTCATCAACGGTAATATCATCACTGTCATCGCCTTCCAGCTCTGTTTAAAGTAATGAAAAGATTATCATGTTATCAGGAGCTCTGTTTAAAAAAAATCGTGCATAGTCCTGCAGCAGTCTCATGTACCTGGAACTTGGTTCAAATCAGGCACCACTTCACATCCGGCTTGTACATTCAGATTGAGATCAGGCAGCTCAGGTGGTTCATGTTCAGCATGATCTGCACAACAACGGCAACAATTAGAGCAGATCAACAAAAGCAACGAGTATGAACTACAGAACAGCGGCAACTCAACTTACCTTGTTCATTCTCTTGCCAGAACACAGGATTATCAAATTGAAACAAGTCTTCAGGCACCTCATCCCAATCAAGTGGATTGGGAAGGAACAACTCAACAACACTCTGCTTCCCTGGCGGTTCTGCCATGGTAGATCAAGCTCATGATAGTACGAATAGTGGAGAAGATAGAGAGTGATGCGCATAGCTATTTATAGAGCAGGTGCACAGCGGCACTGGCTGCACCAGCTTCAGCTTGTTTAAATTTTGACATGGCGCCCAGATTTTGTTTTTGCGAATTGGGGAAGAGAAGAAGGCGGTACAAACTGATGGAGAGGAAAAGGGTGCTCAAATTTCGTTTTTGTTTCCATCGGTTAGGAGGAGGAGTACGGAGGGAAACAGAAATGCGAGATATCGGCGGGAAGCAAACTGGGCTGCGGAATCCTAACCGAAAGCGGGATTAAGAATGAGTCGTGGCCGGCGGCGCGGCGCTATTCGCGACGTACGTACTTAATGAGCTTCGCATACCCCCGTGTACTCCTTGGTATCTGTAATCCGGGCTCTCACGCTGGGTAAAACGGGATGGAGGGAGTAGTTTGCAACCCAAACATCCGGTCATCCGGGTAAGATAGATTACCATGAGTAGGCTCCAGGTGTTGCCTCTCTTTGGCATGGCGGCGGCCTGGTCAGTTGGGAGACTCTGAAATGGGGATCCTAACACTCTGCAAGACCACTACACTGGAAATTTCAGTTTCTCCTCAGATTATTTCGCTGTACAGAAACACAATGGAACAGGGGAGGAAGAAGCAGATTACAGAACTACAAATCTCACGATCGCAAGGTCCCAAACAGAGCGGACAATCCTGATCCTGCCTTGGTGGTGGCACAGAACCTGCAAGAATCTCACAGCAATAAGTGAATAGATTGGCTTCCCATCAGCAGTGGTTCAATGTAAACAAATCACCCACCTTGCGCTTCCTGTTTCGTGACAGGCTTGTTGTCCTCCCTAGATGAGGGTGTCGGTAATGGCATCAGGGCAGTCCCAATAGTGTATTTATGATGGTTTTTATTCTCATTAAATGACTTACCACATAGGTAAAATGTTGACATGACAACGTAGTTAATGAAGAAATAGAGCAAAAATCATAGAAATGGTTTCCTCATGAAGAAACCAGATCTTCTCTTGACCCAATGCACCAAGAAACCATGAAATCGTCATTGGGGAGAAACCACTAGTTTCTAGGAGGCTCGTGCCGCACTCCAATTGAATGAAGAAGATAGAATTGAGAGAGAGAAAGAGAAAATAATTATTACTTATAGAAACCATGGGTTGAAAAGCAGTACTTTTTTTATGCGGTATCCTATGTCTACTAGTTTTTTTCATTGGGAACTGCTCGACGTGGTTGCTGCCTCAGCGAACTCCAGTGCAGTACCATTTCCTACTTTATGTCGTGAAGGCAAATAAGAAATCCTGACGTGGAGTGATGGGACCAAGAGAGGAACGATTGCAGTACCATTTCCTACTTTATGAGTAGTGAGTGATGATGGTGTGTTCCTTGAATACCTAAGCAGAACGAACTTGGCAATGAATGTTCAACTTTGCATCTTATCGAAAATCGGATATTGTCTTACATATATAAATTTTGGATCTCATTGCTAGAAACTTATCTGGCATGAACTGATGCTACCCTTTAGTCCACTGATCCGACTCAATCTTTAACGCGGATAATACACAACAACACGGTTCAAGCTCTTCAGCAGGTTATTCTATCAGAGCAACAGCCAAGTGCCTAGTTGGCATCTACTGATCTACAACGTGCTCCTTGCAAATGATAGTCAGTGTGCATCTTTGTATCCCCAAGAGAACCATATAGTGTGGATAAAATCCTAAATTTTGAATATTGATCTACATTGCATCCAATCAAGCGAGCAACACACAACATATACAACTACAAGATCGCAGTTGCGCAATGAACAGAGCTTTGGAACTTATCTCCTTCCTGCAGCAATGGTGGTGGCCAAATCGACTTCGCCGTGCACCTCGAAGAAATGCCAGGTCGTCTCATTGAACGCGCGTGCGAACTGCGAACCAATCGTCGTCATCCAGATCCTCCGTCTCGCCGACCCGCTCGTCGCACGCGAACCGCTCCGCCGCGTGGACATGCGCGGCCCTGGCGGCGGTGCCCGAGCGGCTCTCCTCGGCCTACAGCACCTATCACGCGGAAGCTGTTGCCGAGC